GAAGATCTTGATGTAGCCCAAATCGAAGCCCTATACAAAATCCAAGAGGTGAAGAGAGTTGTTGCCCGAGCATACACTAAAAAGGTAAAAATAAAAACTTTCAAGGAATGAGAGTTGGTTTGGAAAGTTATTTTGCCTTGGGGAACTCAAATTAGAGGCTTTGGAAAATGGAGCCCGACTTAGGAATGTCCTATCATTATTAACAAAATATTGGACAAGGGTGGATATTACTTAGCAAATGTGGAGGGAGGCTTGCAAAAGCATCCAATCAATGTTAAATTCCTGAAGAAATATCACCTAACCTGTGGGATGTTAAAGACTGTTATGTAGAAGAAGAAGTATAAGCGTCGCATGAAATCTAAAGTCATTTTCGTGCTTATAAGAACTGATTTCTTATTAGGCATGCTATCTCCAACAATGATTGGGACCTGAGAAGTCCATCCAGGTTCCAAGGGATACACTCCTTCCTCTTTGAAAGAGAACCCAGTATAAAAGCCTACCTGAGGACGATGAAGGCCATTAAGAAGGTGATGCATGGTGGAAATCCTTTCACTAGTCTCAAAGGAAAATTGGATTCATGCGGCTTCGGGTATCTTTGAGAGAAGATGGGAAGAAAAGTTGGAATTATGAGGGTCTGAAAACTTTTAAAAGCTCTGAGAAATTCTGGGAAGATTTTGATAATTCAGAAAGACTCGAATTGGTTAAAGTATCTAGCCGAAGAATGGAATTGAATGGAGTTTTATAGCAAATGATCAAGTGACGGTTGGGATTCATGGGTTAGTGTAAATGACCCAATTCATAAACGGCTGCATTAAGATGGCACAAGTTTCGAGTAAAGGCGTGTGACGGTGGTTACTGAAAAGCGGTTGTTCAATCATTATTAGCATCTCGGTTTGCAGGCTTAACAACGATTGAATGGGACACTGTTTGGGTTATTATTTAACTTTGGACTTTAAGAGAAGAAAGCCCAAAAGAGCTCAATAAAGGAGATTTTGCCCGAGGCCCAAGGTCAAGCACAAGAGAAGTTACAACTGATGGAAATAAGTCCACCTACTCTCGGCCCAAAAGCACTTTCTGAATGGCAGACCATGTAAAAATACTGATGACTCACTACCCTTCAGTTGCTTTCGGGCAAGAACTGAAACAGTATAGTTGGGTTAATTCGCCTATAAAATGAGGAAGAAGACCCAGAGATAAGGACACTCAACCAATCAAACAAACAAACATACAACTTGCCTCTCAGTCAAGCAAATACCCAGAAAACTGTGCTTTGTCCAGATTCTGTACCCTTTTAGCCTTAGACTCCCCTTAAAAAGACATATTTTGTCTAGTGTAAAAGCTTTGCTACATTTCTAAATGTTGTAGTATCGATTATCTTAGGTAAACCTGTTCATCACTGATCCTGCTTTAAGTACTCAACCCTCTGTAACTACAAAGAGAATAAACCGAAAGATGTTTAAACCTTGCCCGATAAGGTGAAATCTTGCCTGACTCTCTTTGTTTTGTCTTTAAGTTAATAGGTCTGATGTTATGATGTATTCCCCAGTATATATTCAAGTCATTTCCAGTCTTTTGATAAGCCAAAGTTCCTTCGGTTCTCAGATCTAGTTCACTTAATGGTTTTACCGTCATAAGAAGACTAAATGTGAATTGAATTGATGACTTAATCAGATCTGGACCTCCACCATTTAAGCATACAAGATAACCAACTAAAAGTCCTTGATCTCAAGGCATGGAAAAGAACTTAATGTAGACTTAACTCATCTACGACAATCCTTTGATAACAAGAAGTCAGAATAACTTGGGGCGCAAGTAATCGGCTTAAAAACACTTGTTCTACATCTACCATACTGAGATGGCAGTGGCACGGCCTAAGCACTCAGTTAGTTTTGATCGTGAGCCTCAAGGACCTACACCTAAGGCCCCATAAAGGCACCTTTCAGAACTAACTTTATCCTCCTTTTGCAGCATCTCCGCAAGTCGGAGCCCGACAATCAACCAAAGTGCCAACTCCTCGAGGAGCTGTGTGCTCGAGCTAGAGACCCCTCCCAGCGAGATTTCCTGCCCGAACAGTTTCATCGCAAACGATGAGTTTAGTAGTCGAATTTAAATTCTCCTTGTCATAATCTTTTCGCTGATAGTTTTTTATTCAACATTGCCATATCATATGCATTATTCGATAGTTTGAATCTAAATTGTTACTATTGTTTCTCTAGTTTGTTTTACTATGCTTCAAATTGCTCTTGAGGATGAATTAGAAGAGCAACTTATATGAAACGGATTTATCATTACGTAGCGTCTCAATTCAATAATAAATGATCATGTGAAGAAAAACTTACAATTGACAACGTATTATTAGATACAAAACATCACATGATGGTGAACTCGTTCTATATAAGTTATTCTCACATATTAAAATTGACTTGAATACTTTTCTTGCATTTTTTGTGTGCGGTTCTCGTGAGATAGGATTTGCAAATGTTGTTTGTGAAGACAATTTTACAGCGAATCAACCTGCTTTTATTGGTATGAGAACAGTAATTTGTCACCGCAGTAAACTTGCTATTATTAGTATCAAACTAGTAATTTGTACACCTCCAAAATATGTTACACTGTCCTAGCTCAACACAAATACATAGGCAAATGCGACGCTCCAAGTCTCGAGCCCAATACCAAACTCAAAGTCGGGGCGCGCTTTCCGTACACGCGCGAACGTTGTGTCGCTGATGGGTACTCGGAAGTATAAGTACACAGTCGGTTATGACCGTTTTAATTCCGCAGTATTCAGCTCCACTTGGACGCTGCGTTTCGGTCGTACAGAAGCAGCACCGATGGGCGCCTCAGAATCCACACTCTCAAGCTCACAGGTACTTCTCCGTCGTAATCATCTCCAAATGTAATTTTATTTGTCTCATCATCCAAATTTATTTAATTTAGCATTTTTAATTTTTAATTATGCTTTAAGAGGCCGGCCGAAGAAATCACCACCGTGTCGGAACGATCGGAGACCGCCGATCCCGTCTTAGAAAAGCTCAAATCCCTCAAAATCGTGAGTTTTGTATTCTACTTTCCCAAATTTTCATCAATTTAAGAAAATTGTAAGGAAAAATAAAACTAGGGTTTGAAATTTTGAATTCAGTTAATTGGTTACTGTTCTCTGAAAACGAATTTTTGAATTTGCGTTTTTGAAATGTTTGATTGCAGTCGACGCCCCTGCTGATTTCGCCCCCGGCTGAGGGCAGCTTGACTGACATTTTAGTGAGGAAGCCTTCGTCTTCTTCAGTGCCAAGTAAGCTGCTTCACTGATTTATATTTTTTGATTGCGAAAAAGATTGAGGTAAAAAAACACCAAAATGAAGTCCTTACAGAGGAATTGGACTAGCTGAATTTGGAATTCCACAGCGATTAGTATAATGGTTGTAGTTCTGTAGATGCTGTGTCTTTTTTCGTGACGAGATTGTTGCTTGTATTTTATTAGTTTTGATGCGGAAATTTTGCTACTCTGTTATGAATTGACAATGTAGGTGTTGTGGATCCGAAAGTGCTATTGGAACTCTTCTCGATGTACCGTGAGTGGCAGGAGGATAGTGTCCAAAAGATAAGCAAAAGACAGGTTTGTTTTCACAAGAGTCCTTGTTGAATATTTTGAGTTTGTTTGAAGAAATAAATCTCTGGTTTTTAGGGTTCACACATGCACTGACTGTCTGTTTTCTACTGTCGGAGGGTTATTTCATATAATTTCGAAGTTCAGGAGGCAATTTTTTTAGTTTAAAATCTAAGTAGAAAATAGAACATGGGTCAAGGTTTAGAGTATTTTCTGCAGTGTCCTTACACGCATAGAGCATGTCATCATCTACTTTGTTGTTCTGATGCTCTGGTTGGTAAAATGAAACCACTGAATTAAGTGGATCATGGTTAAATCTGAACTAAGTTAAACAACTTAAGGGAGGTGACCACTTTAAGAATGTCGCAATGAATTCAAGTTATTTTTTCATGTGATCGCCCTTAATAAAGCGATGAGCTGGTTTCTGACCGGGTGCAAACTCTGCATATAGTGCGGTATAAACTAGTGTTATAAATTTCGTTGGAGTCTGACATGGTCAATCACTTTTGATATGTTTGGAATGAAGTATGTGGTTTGTTCTTCCTTATCCAAAGCCTGTTTTTCTCATGTCGAGTTTTGTACAAGATTCGCAGTATATTAGTTAAGTTGTTTGGCATCCCTTCTCCCCCAGAGGAACTGTTTAAACCTTACTTCGGTAAAAATTGTTGCAGGAAGAGGTAGAAAATAAAATAGAGGTTACGGATGCTTTGGCTGCTAAACTTCTTCAGCGTTTTAATTATTCAGTGTCAGCAATGAAGACATCTTCACAACATTTATCCGAAGGTAAGTGATCACATTATACGCGTTAAGGGGAGAAAAATGTATGTTCCAAGCGTCTTTTTCCCTCAGCGGATTTCAATGGACCTAGTATATGGTGAAATCGATACTATCTACAATCTGTCGCATGTCCTGTCATAACTTTCTGAGATGTGTTTCCACTTATCCTATCTTCGTATTGGAACACACATGCAGTTCATTCATTGCAGGTGGAGATTGGGGAGCTTAAAGGAAGGTTAACAGAGGTCATTAGCAACTGTGATGCACTGTGCCGGAGAATATCTGTTGAAGGACCCGAATCCCTCCGGTCATCCATCAAGCCGTTTGCTGTCTGCACCACCGGCCAAGAAATCCAATCTAGCTCTAGCTCATCCGACGTGCAAAGAGATCCAGAGCAAGGTCTACCATGCGGCGTATCGAAGTTAGACTGATTTTGCATTCTTTCGTGTACAAAATCTATGAACGATAACACGTTTGATTAATTTCTTTTCAGCAACATTGTGGCGTATAAAATACTTTTTGATTGTTATAGTCCTTGATTCATTTTTGGATTAACCGAGGACCATTTTCGAGCGCTAATAACATCTCTCTGAAAAACAAGAAAACGAAAATGACAGGGTAGGAAACAAGACAAGTATGTAATTTGCTGAAAAATGAATCAAGTTACAGAAAAATTAAGAACAAAAACAACCCTCGAAATGAACAGCACAGAACAATTAATTACTGGAATTCAAACTCTATTGAGCTCTAGAACTAAGCCACATTATATAACTTAAAACTCTTTTGGCACCCATGGACCCAGCATCAGAGGAATCAAGGCTGTTGCTGAGCATCCATGTACCCAGCATCCACAAGTACCTTCTCCCTCTTAGCCAATTCAACGTCTTCGTCCACCATCATCTTCACCAGCTGCTGAAACCCGACTTTCGGCTTCCAACCCAGCACCTTCTTCGCCTTGCTCGCATCCCCTTTCAGATTATCCACCTCCGACGGCCGCAGGTACCTCTTGTCGATCACCACGTGGTCTCTCCAGTTCAATCCCACATACCCAAACGACACCTCCAGGAACTCCTCCACCGTGTGCGACTCCTCCGTCGCCACTACGTAGTCGTCCGGCTTCTCCTGCTGCAGCATCATCCACATCGCCTCCACGTAGTCGCCGGCAAAACCCCAGTCCCTCGACGCCTGCAGATTCCCCAAAAACAGCTTGCTCTGCAATCCCTCCTTGATCCGACCCACGGCCCGGGTGATCTTCCGGGTCACGAAATTCTCCCCCCGCCGCGGCGACTCGTGGTTGAACAGAATCCCATTGCACGCGAACAGACTGTATGCCTCGCGGTAGTTCACGGTGTACCAATGCGCCGCGCATTTCGAGACGGCGTAAGGGGATCGGGGGTGGAACGGCGTCGTTTCCGACTGAGGAGGCGGGGTGGCCCCGAACATCTCGGACGACCCGGCTTGGTAGTACTTAATGTCGGTGCGGCCGGTGGCGGCGATGTGGGAGCGGACGGCCTCGAGGAGGCGGAGGGCGCCCGTGGCGACGACGTCGGCGGTGTAATCGGGGATTTCAAACGAGACGGCGACGTGCGATTGGGCGGCGAGGTTGTAGACCTCGTTGGGGGCGATTATGTCGAGCCAGCGGCGGAGGGAGGAGGAGTCGGTGAGGTCGGCGTAGTGGAGCTTCATGCGGGCCTTGTGGGCGTTGTGGGGATCGATGTAGATGTGGTTGATGCGCTGGGTGTTGAAGTTGGAGGACCGTCGGATCAGGCCGTGGACGTCGTAGCCTTTGTCGAGGAGGAATTCGGTGAGGTAGGAGCCGTCCTGGCCGGTGATGCCGGTGATTAGAGCGACCTTTCGGTGCTCCGGCGGATCAGGGGCGGAGCCGTTGGGGGTTAAGGTTCCGGATCTGACGGTGTCGGTTTCGGATGCCATTGTGGGTGTGGTGGAGTCGTGGGGGGTGTGAGGATAAATGGAGAGAAGGGGGAGTGAGATTGTGAGGAGATGATGGACTTTTCGGAAGAATTTTAAGAGGGATGGAAGGACAGATCCAACGCTGGTGGCGCGGTTGGACACGGACGCGCGTTTTGCGCTTACTTTGGTGACGTATTAGAGGGCGCCAGCTTGGATGATGGTTGGGTCCCACAGCACTACGTTGGGAGCTAAGATCTGCCAAATTTATAAGAAATTCATTTTTATTTATTAATCTACTAGCCTTCACGCACTCGTTTACAGAAGGTATTTTTTGAATTACGACGTGATGCACACGATTTATACATTTTAAATGTATTTATATGCTTAAATTGATAAAAGGAAAGTCAAATATTTGAAGTAAATGAATAATCTTAGATCATGCTAGAAGAAATCTCTTATAAACCAATTAAAGCAACTGAATTAACATAATAAAATCGATCTCTATAGAGAAATTAATATTTAATAAACAACTAATTTAATCACATTATTGCTAGCTTATTGTGAGGCTATGTCTACCCCTCCCTCGGGCGCAAAAACAAAAGCGTGAGTGGGCAAAACAAATCTCTTAGAAAACCATTTCATAAAACATAATATAACCCCTCGCCGTAAAACCTGTATACTTCCCAGAAAATAAACATAAAAACGTAGGTATAAATATGCCAAGTATAATCAAGGGTATGCCAACATGCTCAAGGCCCCAATATAACATGCAAATGCTCAGGTATGTATAGCGCATCAATAGAATAATAAAATGACAGCCGGAGTCCCCTAAGTGACCTGTACGGCTGAACCTAGAGCTCAATTTACCACTCATTCCCTAAACCTGCCCACGAGTCGGAACCACCTATAGTGGTCTGTACGACAAGCCTGGGTGTAATACATATAACGCTCTAGTGCTACGATCACGTGAAGGCTGTGCGAATAATCGCGGGTCACCTACGAGTCGGAACCACCTATAGTGGTCTGTACGACAGGACTGTGCACCTAACTTGGATTCAAGCTGAGCGTGTGGTGCGGGAGGTGAACAACACGTGAAAGACTGTGCCCTACTCTGGGCGGGAGCACTAACACCGGGGGTGCAGGTTATGAGCTCTCTAAGCACCTCGAACCACTATTTAATGCGAATGTAAAACAACGCTTACCTGGCACTTACCTAGGCCGCCGCAGCACCAATATATATGTAAATGACGTAAGAATAAATATATAAACCAACTCATATGCCACTAATCATGCATAGTCATCAATCATATAAAATTACGGCGTAAAACAAGGTATTTATACTAATTTCTGGGAAATAACATGTATATAGGTATATACGGAAAACAAAAGCCCACTCACTGGTAAGTAGAAGGGTCGTAGCCCCCCTGCCTCGAATGTGCACGCTCGTCCTCGGGATACGTGTCACCTATATGCGAATTAACTACAAAAACGTTAACTTTAAAGCACATAACCGTCCGTTCAAAATAACTTCTCATACATTGCTCAAAATGGACAAATGAATATACCAACGTGACCTACACAACCTCACGATCACAACCATATTTTTAAAATAATTTTTGGACACGTCACGCGCCCCCACGCGCCTGGAATGGCACGGGTCCACGCGCCCCCACGCGCGGCCACGTGCCGTTTGACTGACGGAATATTCCCTAACTGACGCCGTTAGTCCTGTAGGAATATTCCGTTAAAACTTAACGGAATATTCCCCTGTCCTCTCCGGCGAGCCGCCGCCGTTTGCGCCGGCGCCGGCGCCGTCGCCGGAAAACTGGAAATTTTTCAAACTTTGTTTTCTCACTCGTTTTTCAACCATTTTTCACGTTCTTTATACCAAAATGAAGCTTAGGACTAGTAGAATTACGTTAGACTACTTTTAAGGCCTAAAAATCAAGGAATCTCACCTGCAACAACGATCTAAGTTCGGCCAACTTTGGAACTAAGCTTTCCCGACGTCCAAATTCACCCAACGAAGCATTCCCAAGCTCCTTGAGGCCTCACTAACACATCTACAAGCTTAGAATGTCCAAAAACATAGTGTAGATAATATTGTTTGTTAAAAAAAAAAAAAAAATCATTTGACCACTAATTTAATGTAATTTAATCACATTATTATTCGCGTGCAGAAGACGTTTGTTATAATCGGCATAACAAGCCTCTTAAGATGTTTTGAACGTGTTTAAAATAGAGAAAATAATCTTTAATAAACAACTGATTGAATCACCTTATTGCTAGCTCATTGTGAGGTTAAGCTCACCCCTCCCCCTTAGTGTAGATAATATTGTTTGTTAAAAAAAAAAAACCAATCATTTGACAACTAATTTAATCACATTATTATCTACGTGCGAAATGCTTTTTTTATAACTGGCATTACACGCATCTTAAGATGTTTTGAACGTGTTTAAAATAGAGAAAATAATATTTAATAAACAAATGATTGAATCACATTATTGCTAGTGTGACAGCCCGTCCCGAAATATTTGTATCGATGGCATGGAATGACGATTTTACCCTTGGACGGTAATTGGTGTTGTGTGACTTGCACTTTGGTCGTGGACCAAATAAGTTTAGTCCAACTTGTTTGGACTCAATTAGAACTAAAGGGCTTAAGGTTTTGTTTTGGTTGGTTGCCCAAATCCAGATCACGCACACACTTACCCGTTGACCCTTCTTTCTCTATCTCTCTCGATCGTTTTCTTCCGTCTGTACAACCTATACGGACAACTCCTAATCGAGCTTTCCATTCACGAATCAAGCTTGTGGACACCATCATCACCTTTCTTGTAACCATACGATCTCATCTATACCAATTTTAGGACGTGAAGCCGTTGGAAAACTCGAGAACCATAATTCCCGATTTGGTACACTGTTCATGCAATCGTGATCGTGAAGTTTTTAGAAATTTTTAAGCTTCTAGGGAGCTTTAGAACGTCTTCACAAGGCTCGGAGAAGAAAAACAAAGTGTTTTGGACGTCGGGAAGTTGAGTTTAGCTAGTTTCAAATTTGGCCGGATTATCGTGGGTTTTTCCGGCGAGATTCCGTTGGATTTAAGTCCCAAAAGTGGTAAGGTTTTGTTCTACTTGTTGTAAGCTTCATTTTGGTACAAATTTCATGGAATTTGATTAAGAATTGAAGAAGATATGAAGTTTTGAAGTTTTTCCAAAAACCGGCGAAAATTCAAGTTGCAAACGGTGACGGACGGCAGCAACCGGCGAGACTCATTGGAGAAGACGAAGAATATTCCGTCAACTTTGACGGAATATACTAACGACGTCAGGTATATATAATGGTATATTCCATTTTTTGACAGAATATTCCCTAACGCCGTTAGGGTCTCAGTCCGTGTGCCAGGCACATGCCTACGCGTGGCGGCGCGTGGGTGGTCAGAAAATTATTTTAAAAATATGGGGATGTTCGTGAGGTTGAGTAGATCACGTTGGTATATTCAAACACCCCATTTGAGCATTGTATGAGAAGTTATTACCTAATTTTGGTTATGTGCTTTAAATTAACGTTTATATAGTTGTTTCACATATAGGTGAGACCTATCCTCAGGACGAGCGCAATCAATCGAGGCTTGGGGGCTACGACCCTTCCACATACCAGTGAGTAGGCTTTTGGTTTTCCGTATATACTTATATACTTGAGATTTTTCCCAGAAAATCGATTTAAATGAATTATGTTTGAAATGTCATGCAAAGTATCTGCCTATTTTACTCATGCATTAGTAGTTGCATATATTTATGATTGGTGTTGCGAACACACATGTAAGTGCCAGATAAGTTTATAGATTATGGTTGTGAGATTGATGATTATGTGAGATGTGTTGTGAGCTCATAAACATGCACCCCGGTGTTAGTGCTGCCGCCCAGAGTTAGGGCACAGTCCTTCATGTGATATTCATCTCCCGCACCATACGCTCACCTTGGATCCAAGTTAGGTGCACAGTTCTGTCGTACAGACCAGTATAGGTGGTTCTGACTCATAGGTGACTCGCAATTATTCACACAATCTTCACGTGATCGTAGCACTTGAGCGTATTTATTTACACCCAGTCATGTCGTACAGACCACTTAGGTGGTTCCGACTCCTGTGCAGGTATATTTGTTGAGATGTGGATTTGAGTCATACAGGTCACGTTAAGTGACTCCGGCTAGATGGATGAGCTCTAGATTTAGCCGTACAAGTCACGTTAAGTGACTCCGGTTGATATATCATTTGCATTGATTTATATCACCTGGTTTACATATATTTTTATGCTGAGATATTTGACATGGCATATTGGTGAATTTTGCTATTCTGAGCATGGTTGTGGTATATATATATATTCTATTTTCTGAAAAATTATACAGGTTTTACGAAAAGGGGTTAGAACTTTTGAGAATGAAATAATTTTGAAAAGCTTTGTTTTTGCCCACTCACACTTTCTATTTGGCGCCCCTCTAGGTTCTAACTAGGAGTTATCGTTGGTGGCATATGAGGATTCCAGTGGTGGTTCTGACAAATTTCACAAATGTAGGATCATCTTTGGGTGTTGTTTAATTAGTATTTGTCCAGTCGGACTGCACTTAGGCTATTTATACTCTAATTGTGTATTTCACACTTAATCTCGCACTACCATGTTATCTTAGCGTGTACAGCTAGTTGTTGGTTTTTATTTATTCGCATTTCTATTATTATTATTGCTTCCGCACTGTGCACATGGCTACATCACCCTTACGTGACAACCAACATGCCTTGATTTTGGTCGGGGTGTGTCAGCTAGCCCATTGTGAGGTTAAGTTCACCCCTCCCCCTTAGTGTAGATAATATTGTTTGTTAAAAAAAAAAAAAACAATCATTTGACAACTAATTTAAAGTAATTTAATCACATTATTATTAGCGTGCGAAAGACTTTTTTTATAACCTGCATAACACGCCTCTTAAGATGTTTTGAACGTGTTTAAAAATAGAGAAAATAATATTTAATAAACAACTGATTG